GTTGAGTAGCAATGGGTAGGGCTATAAAATGAGGGTAGGCGGGAAATGAGGGGGCACATCCCCGATGAGTAAGTGCGTACTCTTGATGGGTGGAGCTTGGTCCAAAGACTGGCTCGTTCCTGATACAGTTTGGGGATCGAAGAGAAATTGATCGAGATGGGACATCTACAGTCCTCATCATTGCGGACCGGTGGGGCGTGGCAGTGCGGCTGCGTTTGGTGCGGTTTGGCAAAATCGTTCTGCACCAGTTTTTGAAGCGGGCAAGTGCATTACTGTATTATTCCTTCGTATTACTCGTTTTCTACCACTTTTTGTCGCATACGCGTTGCAACAAAAAAGGCTGAGAACGGCTTCAACAGTGTGCGCACTCCTTCTGGCTGACACGCCCCACCGGTCCGCAATGATGAGGACTGTACACTCTATATCCCGGAGATTGAGAGGACGTAGCTGCGTATTTCGCTCGAATGACAACAGCCTTTTGGGTGAGATATTGCGGATCTGGAAGCAGTTGTAATCATGCCTTTGTCCGGCAAAAGTTTTGATATCAGTGCTTCAAATGGAAATATTCTGCGAAAGGCGTAGAATGAAGTATGCAGCCACGCCCTCTGCATTTCCGGATATGAAGGCTACATCACTTCCGCCTTCGAGATTGAAAGCCGTTGCCGAAGAACAAGATATTCACTTTCTAGAAAGATAACCGTTTTGATTACAAGACACATGAGTTCCTATTTCTCTCCCGTCTTACCGAAGGTGCTGAATCTCTTTGGATATGTAAATTTTTTACGAAAAAGTCAAGCAAATCAAAGCAAGCCCGAGCCACATGTCCACAAAAATGTATGGCAGGCATCCCTCCCTGGACCCGTCCTTGGAAATATTCTGCGAGATCGTTCTTTGATCTTTGCATGGATCATGGCTTTTTTTGAATATGTTATCTACATTGAATCTTTGGCCCATCATGATTCATTTTCTGAGTCAAAAAAATTCTTTCAAGAAAGCGCCCAGTACTGCATGTAGCAGTCACGATTAGACCTATATTGGTACACGCCAACTTCTCAATAGCGACTAGAAACGGGAAATGCTCACATCGATTCAAAGCTTTCAACCTACCTCACGGAAACTCTTTGTAGCTTTTTGCTGCTGGGTTGTGCTGGATATATCCCGCATTCCAATCAAAAATCTAAACACAAGTCAAATGAGTAGATAGAGAGAAAGGGTTGCACCGAAGGAAGTCGTAATATGAATGAGTCAATCATAGAAACTTGAGGCATCCCATGGGAGCGACATTTGCTGGTGAAGAATGCTCTCGAATTAGTTGCAATCTAGTTAGATCTCATGTCTTTTAATGTTGGTAAGTAATATGACCGGTAAAGCATCTGTTGAGAAGACAGCTCAAAGACACGTTCCGCAATCGCAGGTTGTAGCCTAGTCAAGTTCA